GTGGGTCGCAGGTCGTGGCCGCCCGGGGCCAGCGCGCCGGGGGAGCCGCTCCACCGGGAGCAGCAGGTCCCGGGGCTCCTCCGCGTGTCACGTGTCACAGTGACCTTTCCCACGGCCTGGAGCCCACACCAGTCAGCCGTGCGATTGGTGCGGTCTGCGACCAGTACTTCCGGTCCCTACTTTCCACTTCACGTGGTGCTTCTTGCTCCGGAGAGGTCTCAGAGTTTGGGTTTGTTTAGAAACAGGATGAGATTTAGACGAACCGTAAGTTACCAGCGTTTGGCCAGGCGACTCAAGCCTGTGTCCCTGTCTGGGAGGTGGAGGTCGCTGACTGCAGTTGGAGCCCCAGCAAAAAGGTTAAGAGAGTATCATGACCAAAAGCTATGTGCAGTATGTGGGCCTGTTATCTCAGCCAGAGGGGGAAAAGTAGCTGGCCCTTGTTAGCCCAACAATTTTGTGAAGCAACTTGGAGGATTGCAGCCCAGGCCTACCAGGGAACAAAGCAAACCTTACCTGGTAAATAACCAATGCAAAAAAGGGGGGGGGCTGGACTCAAGAGATAGAGCACCAGCTTAGCAAGTGGAGACCCCGAATTCAATCCCCATTACGGCCCCACCCACCAAAAAAATAAATTACTAGCATTGGGAGCTGCTCCATGAAGAGACAACTCCCATAGTATCCCTCCTACTGATCATGGGACATTTAACAGCCTTCACCCAAACATTCACATGTCTTCATAGTGTCTATCAGTTCTTAGTGTGTGACAAATGGTAGGTAACATTTGATCTGCATTATTAAATATTAGCTTTTAGTGTTTATGTGAAGAGTGTTATGTCATTGTCCTAGAGGTTTTATGTTTTAGCTCACTCCATCCTTTAGCCACAGGTGAGAAAACTGAAGTTGTTTTCTTGCCTCCCCTGAGATACTTGGCTAATAAGTAGGAGAACTTGGATTTCAATATAGTACTGCATAATTTCAGGATTGTTTCCAGTTGAAACAATCACCCTTCGAAGTCTAGAAAGATGTTTTCCATTTCATAGCTGGGAAAACTGACTTAGGATAAAGGAGCTCAAGGTAGCATGACCATTAGTAGCAGAGTCTTAGCATTCTTTACACTGTGCCCTATAAAGAATAAGGAAACTGGTTAGCATTTGTTGTTTGCTAGGACTGTCAAGGTTGAAAATATTTGTGACTTCATGTTCGTTTATGGCTCTAAAGGACATAATGTTTTTCAGGTTGTGGCATCAGCTGACACTTCAGGTGCTTGATTTTGTGCAAGACCCGTGCTTTGCCCAAGGAGATGGTCTCATTAAGGTAAATCATTTATGGTGATAAGTCAGATTATATGAATATGTTTAAGGACTTTCTAACTGCTTTGTGATGATCATAATGAGATCAAATCACTTTATGCCAGGGATTGTTGTAGGCACTTTCTATATTTGTTTTATAACTTTGGGGAACAGCTACTACTTGTAACTTTGTGGTTGTTGTTCTTTCTTTTTTCCTAGAAGCAGACCTAAGAGTTAAATGATTAACTTACCTAACAAGTCACAGAAGAGCTTTCAGAGACAGATATTGTCTCAGCTGGAATGGTGGCTCACAGCTATAATCCCAGCAACATGGGAATTATAGGTAGAGCATTATTCCTGGAGGCCAACCCAGGCAAAAAGTGGCAGACCCTATCTGAAAAATAACAACACAAAAGGGCTTAATGTGTGGTCAATTGGTAGAATGCTTACCTCACATTGACAAGGTCCAGAGTTCAAACCCCAGTATCACCCAAAGGAAAGAAAACTACAATTTTTGTTTCTATGATTCTAGACTGGAGCTGGGAATGAGACTGAGTTGTAGTTTGTGCTTAGCATTCATGCAGCCTGGTGTTTTATCCTTAGCACCACCAAAACAAAATAAACACAGTGAAATGGTATATAATCTCAGGAGACTCAGTCAAGAGGATCATAAGTTCAATGGCCTAGGCAATATAGTGAGAGTTGTCTTTTTTTTGTTTTTTTGTTTTTGTTTTTTTTGGGGGGTCCGGTCGTGGGGCCTGAACTCTGGGCCTGGGCGCTGTCCTTTAGCTCTTCAGCTCAAGGCTAGCACTCTACCACTTGAGACAGAGCGCTACTTCCGGGCTTTTTTCTTTTTGCTTATGTGGTGCTGAGGAATCAAACCCAGGGCCTCAGGCATGCAAGGCAAGCGCTCTACCACTGAGCCACAATCCCAGCCCCTGTTTTTTTGTTTTTGTTTTGGCCAGGTACTGGTGGCACATTCCTGTAATTCTAGCTATTCAAGAGGCTGAGATCTGAGGAGCATGATTTGAAGCCAGCCCAGGCTGGAAAGTCCAGAAGACTCTTGAGTGGTAGAGCACTAGCCTTAAGCATAAAAGCTTATGGACAATGCCCAAGCCCTGACTTCAAGTCCTAGGACTAGCACCACAAGAAAAGGCCAGGTGCTGGTGTCTCATGCCTGTACTCTTAGGAGGTTGAGATCTGAGTTCAAAGCCAGCTCAGGTAGGAAAATCTGTTAGACTCTTACATCTAATAAATTACCCCCCCCCCCAAAAAAAAAAGCTGGAGGTGGAGCTGTGGCTCAAGTAGTAGAGTGCTAGCCTTGAGTAGAAAAGCTCAGGGAAGTCTGTAATCCTAGTTACTCAGGAGGCTGAGATCTGAGGATTGAGGTTCAAAGCCATCCCAGGCAGGAAAGTCTGTGAGACTCTTATCTCCAATAAACTGGAAGTGGCGCTATGGCTCAAGCAGTAGAACGCTCTCTTGAGCTGAAGAGCGCAGGGTCAGTGCCCAAGCCCAGATTTCAAGCCCCACAACCGACAAAAAAAAAGCTCAGGGAAGCCGGGCACTGGTGGTTCATGCCTGTAATCCTAGCTACTCAGGAGGCTGAGATTGAGGATCGAGGTTCAAAGCCAGCCCGGGCAGAAGAGACCATGAGACTCCTATCTCCAATAAACCACCAGAAAACCGAAAGTGGCGCTGTAGCTCAAGTGGTAGAGCGCTTACCTTGAGCTGAAGAGCGCCCAGGCCCAGCGTTCAAGCCCCACGGCCAACCAAAAAAAAAAAAAGCTCAGGGACTGTGGCCAAGGCCCTGAATTAAAGTCCCAGGGCTGCACACACACACACAAAGAAGAGAATAGATAGATATAGATGAATGAAATAAAATTCTAGCTTAAAGTATTACCTTATAACATGTCTAGGTATCTTTTATTATTTACACATTTTTTCAGTGTCATGTAGGCCAGGGTAGTCTAGAACTTCCATCCTCTTCTATCTTAAGCTTCTTAAGAACTGAGATTATAATCCCGAACCACTTTGGTTTTTTGTTGCTGTTGTATTTTACTTCAGGGAAACTGTTCCAAAAGAATAGAAAGTTCAAGATAGTGGATGATACAAAGAAAGATTTTAGATAATTCTCACTCCCCTTCTTTACCACTCTGCTTGTGGAAATACTTCTGACCTTAGTAATGTAGAAACAATATTTGTTCACTTGAGAGCAATAGGATTGAAGGGGCAACAGCATAATATGCTGCTTTTGTAATAGATTACTTTGAGGATTTGTCAGCCGGAAAGGGGAAAAAACTTTCTAGCCTGAGTCCCCTGAAAGAATTCAGAAGCCTCTTGAGATCTTCTCGGGCATCTTTCTCTGATTTTGAATGAATCAGATTTCTATTGATAGCGCACCTATAATTGTAACGTGAGTTATTTTTTCTGAATACATTATTTTGTTTATATTGTTTATTTGTGTGTGAGTGTGTGTGCCAGTCCTGGGTCTTGAACTCAAGGTTTTATGCTTTCTCTTGGCTTTTTTGCTCAAAGCTAGTGCTCTAGCAGTTGAACCATGCCTCCACTTCTGGTTAGTTGGAGAGGAGAGTCTCAGAGACTTTGAGATTCAAAACCTGAGCTGGCTTTGAACCGCAGTCCTCAGATCTCAGCCTCCTAAGTAGCTAGGATTATAGATATGAGCCACCAGCACTTAATGCATTATATAGCACATACTGAAGCTTACCACTTTGCCACGCCACCTCCTAAAGCTGAAAACTTTTTTTGTGTTTTTTTTAAAAAATATTATTACTATTATTATTTGACTGTTGTGGGGCCTGAACTCTGGGCCTGGGCACTGTCCCTCAGCTCTTCAGCTCAAGGCTAGCGCTCTACCACTTGAATCACAGCACCACTTCCACAGCACCGCTTCCAGCTTTTTCTGCTTATGTGGTGCTCAGGAATCGAACCCTCATGCATGCAAGACAAGCACTCTACCACTGAGCCACGTTCCCAGCCCCTTTTTATGGTTTATATCCATCAATTTGCCACTCTACTACTCAAAATAACTTGCAATTGTCTGTAAGCATATTTTTGCTGACCATTGGAAAAATGATAAATAAAAAAGTATGAATAGTTCTCCAAGGTTCTACATCCTATAGTGAAATATAGTTCATTGTTATCCTTTGCAGTCTTAACCTTTGAATTGTTTATATATGGCAAAGTGTTCACTCAGCTCTTGTAGTAATATGACACTCAGCAGATTTGAGTTCACTTTTTCATAGATATATAAACTTTGAAAGTTGTTAAGACCAAGTTCACATAGTGTAAAATGAATGGTATTCATTAATACAGTCACTAGAAGTAATTTTTAGTTTCTGTTTTTTGTTTATGTACTCCATCAATTTAAAAAAAAAATCAGCAAACTTTTTGAGGAATAATCCCCCTGTTGGGAGGATGATTATATTTATTTAGATGATTGTATGCTAGATGTAAATAACTAACTGACACAGCAACATTTCCATCTTGCTGCTTTGTATTCTAGAGAACTATCATGCTCGTTTCAAAATTGAAGTTATCTGGAGGTTTCTTCTCTTTACCCACCATGAACACTCCCTTTCCCCAGCTAACCTAGTTGTGACCTCAGAAGTTCATTGTCAACCTGCCTTCCCTGTGCCCAGCCCACATCTGATCATATCTGGTCCAACTTATTAGCATGTCTTTGTATCCTCAACAATGCTCTGTTCCACTGTCTTTCAGTCTTCTTCTTCCAGTGGTCTCAGTGTTCTCTTGTGTTTTTCTCTGTCCCTAGTTTTATTTTCCTAGTTCAGCCCGGCCTAGAGAAGAATCTAATCTCCAGTGTCTTCTACCTTGTCCTTCAGAATCAGTGCAATCTGTTCATGTCTGCCATCTCCTCAGCTACTTTGTATATGATGGGCATTTTGATTTACACCTGGTAATACTGATGCAGCTTCTTTAACTAAAAATAGTGGTTTTGACATCTGATTTTGCAGAATGAAAGACATCCTGTACTTACTCTTCTGTTTTGGTTTCACAGCTTTATGAAAATTTCATTAGTGAATTTGAACACAGGTAAAAACCTTTTATTAGTTATTTACTTTGAAAATAAATATGTTGATATTTTTTGACACTCAAAAGCTGGTGGTTTTTATTTCAGGGTGAACCCTTTGTCCCTGGTAGAAATTATTCTTCACGTGGTTAGACAAATGACCGGTAAGCCTCATTTTGTTTCATAGTAGAACAGATCGAATGGTAGTTAAAGTGATCTTGAAATAGGCTTTTAACTGAATGGAAATGTAATTTAATAGACAGTATCAGATTGGCTGGGAGGAGTGCACACTTTGAATCCTTGTACTCTGGAAGCTAAGGCAGGTGAATCACAAGTGCAAATATAGCCTAGGCTATGTAGTAAAAAAACTTGTCTTTAAAAAAAAAAAGCCAGTCACTGGTGGCTCACACCTGTAATCTGAGGGTTCTGGTTCGAAGCTGAGGATTGTGGTTTGAAGCCAGCCCAGGCAGAAAAATCTGTGAGATTTATCTCCTTATTTCCAATTAAACACACACACACAAAACAAGCGGAGCTGTAGTTCAAGTGGTAGAGTAGTAAAGAGCAAAAAAGCTCAGGGACAACACTCAAGCTCTGAATTCAAGCCCCAGGACCAGCACCAAAAAACCCCACTGGCACATACTTGTAATCTCAACTACTACATTGGGTAGTTGGATTTAGAAGATCATGGTTCCAGCAAAAATTAAATGAGATAGGGTTTATCTCAACAAGCCTAGGCTAAGGGCCAAGACCTTACCTGAAAAATAACTAAAGCAGTAAGGGCTGGAGGTTGGCTCAAGTGGTAGAGCACGTGCCTGACAATCACAAAGCCCTGAGCTCAATCCCCATACTGCCAAGGAAAGAGAAAGAAAAAAACATTAGATTGAGTTAAGTTTTTATTACACCTTCTGATCTAACCTTGCAAGGTCTTGGCTAGTAGAAACTCGGCTGCTGGTAAGCCTGACTTTGTTCTTCTTTCTCTTCTAGATCCTAATGTGGCTCTTACTTTTCTGGAAAAGACTCGTGAGAAGGTGAATGTAAAGTTTTAACAGCACCTGTGGGAATATATGAGATTTGAATGTTCCTCTTTAGAAGCCTTAAATCTCCTGGCATGAAAGTGAGATCAGTGACTGAGTAGTGGCTCACTTTGTGAATTTGCTGCCCACATTCTGAGTTTCTCTTGTTTTTGATATTGTTAGGTAAAAAGTAGCGATGAGGCAGTGATCCTATGTAAAACAGCAATTGGAGCCTTAAAATTAAACATTGGGGACTTACAGGCTACAAAGGTAAGGTCACCATAATACCTGTTTATCTGTGGTTTAAAACTGGGAATGGGGGGGAACCAAAAAAAAAAAAACTTCCCTTCTCTTTAACTGTTAACTCAAAATAGTTTTGAGTTATAGAAAAAGTGCAAAATAGCAAACACTCATATTTCTTTTTTTTTTCCCTTCTTTGTTCTGCTGATAGGTCTTTGAATTCTGTGCTTGGGTGCTCTCCCTTAGCTTTTTTGCTCAAGGCTGGTGCTCTACTATTTGAGCCATAGCTTCACTTCTGGCTTTTTGGTGGTTAATTGTAGATAAGAGTCTCAGACTTTTGTGCTAAGGCTAGCTTTGCACTCTAATCCTCAGATCTCAACCTCCTGAGAATCTAGGATTACAGGCATGAACAACCTGCACTGAGTTAATCCAGATTCCCCAGTGATTACATTTTGCCACTTTTGCCTAATTGTGTGTGTGCATGCGTGTGTGTGTGATTTTCTTTCTCAAAATCATTTCATAGTGAGTTGTTCATATGCAGCCTGCTATCCTTAAAACAAAAGAACACTGCCTGTGTGACCACGGCTTTCCATTCTGTCAGATCTCCACTTCACCTTGGCTAGGTGACATTCCTGGGCTCTGGCTGGCCAGGTGCCGCCTCCTCACTACTGGCAGGTCATGTGCTCCTCCATCTTCTTTCTGCCTCAGAAACTCTTGTTGAAGTTTCCTGTCTTGCCGTTCTTTTATCTTTGTTCAGTGTGGGGGACAAATGTGGATTACGGTTAGCAGTGAGACCAAAGTATATAGTTAGTCCTTGGGTGGTAAAGGGGAGGAGGCTGGGGTGGGGCTAGTCCTGAGACTTGAACTCAGGGCCTGGGCATTGTCCCTGATGAGCTTTTTAGCACTACCACTTGAGCCACAGTTCCACTTTGGGTTCTTTGGTGCTTGATTCGAGAAAAGTCTTAACAGACTTTCTTGCCCAGGCTGGCTTTGAACCTTGATCCTCAGATCTCAGCCTCCTGAGTCACTAGGATTATAGATGCCTGGCTAGTCATCTATTTTGTTTAACCAGAGACTGCATGTATTTTGTTTTGTCTGGTTTTGATTTTGGTAACCATGATATTAATGAAAATAGGTTGGGGGGGTAAGGGTTGGAAGTTCTCCTTGCCTTTTAATTATTGCAAGGATCTTGTGCAGACACATGGCCACTGTGAGACAGTAAGGAATTCTGTAACTGGCCATCCTTGAGTTCCAACCAGGTCAGGAGCAGAGCAGCATATGCAGTAAGCACACTGTGCTCCCAACCCTGTTCCTCCTCAGTGGGGCCTCAGTGCATACTTCCTTGTCCAGGCAGATGTGTACAACTCTTAGTCTCTACTCCTCAGGTTTTAGGGCCATCATGTATAGATATAGGCAACTTTTACCCAAGTTTTCTTTTACCGCGTATTGTTTCACGACTTACAAATGTGGTGAATATATAAGCTGGGTGGGATATAAGTTGCTTCTACACGTAATTTATTACCATCTCTGTGCCTAGTGTATTGTGTATGTGAGCAGTCTCCCATGTGTGTTTCTGGAGAAGAATTGAGTATGAGGTGTGTGAGCCCCCAGACTCCTGATGCTTCCTGCCTTTGTCTCTTGATATTTTTATGTCATTGAACTCTTGCAAATTTACTAGATGTTAAGTTTTCTAGTGTCGCGTTTATCAGTGCCTCACTTTGCAGTATATGCTTTTTGTTTTTGTTACTTTTTAAATCTTTAAATTGGAGGACGATTACACTTCCTGTGTGTAGGAGACAATTGAAGATGTGGAAGAGATGCTCAGCAGCCTCCCCGGAGTGACGTCCGTTCATAGTCGTTTCTATGACCTATCCAGTAAATACTACCAAACAATTGGGAACCATGCATCCTACTACAAGGACGCTCTGCGGTTTCTGGGCTGCGTTGACATCAAGGATCTACCAGGTAACAGAGCCTTTTCAGTTCATGTCACACAGGCATATTGCTGAGCACAGCAGTTATGAGGTGCTGGACGAAGTAGGTTCAGCTTCATTCAGGTGGGTTCATCCTCTGAAGTAAAGTAGAAAGATTCTATAGCTCTGGTTTATATCTTATTGGTCTCCAGCACTTAATGTGTATGACAGCAAGGCTAAGTCCTACTAATACCCTTCATCTTCTCCAGGTCCATACTGTTACCTAAGTCAGAGGTCTTACAGGAAGTATAGTATGTGATACAAGGACCTTCTGATCTGCAAGATGGAGGTCCCTGAAATTCCCTAGAGCTGAGGGCTTCTGAAAACCAAGCTCTGGGTTAGAGTCTTTCAAGGATCTGACAAGTAGAAAGAAAGTTGACCAGAGCTTTGGGAAAGAAAGAAAAGTATGCATTTGCATAAAAATTTCAGCATAAGCTGGGTACTGGTAGCTCATGCCGTAATCTTAGAATCACAGTTCAAAGCCAGCCAGGACAGGAAAGTCTGAGCTTTTTGTTTTGGAGGCGGGGGTCAGTTCTGGGGTTCAAACTCTGGGTCTGGGCACTGTCTCTGAGCTCTCCAGCTCAAGGCAAGTGCTCTACCACTGAGCCAGAGTGCCACTTCAGTTTTCAGGTGGTAAATTGGAGATAGGCATCTCACAGACTTTCCTGCCTAGGCTGGCTTTGATCTGTGATCCTCAGATAGCAGCACCCTGAGTAGCTAGGATTATAAGCATGAGCCACAGGTACCAAGCTGTGAGAATGTTATCTCCACTAAAACTACCTAAAAAGCCAAAAGGGAAGCTGTGGCTCAAGAGGTAGTATCAGCCTTGAGCAAAAGAAGCTCAAAGAAAGCACCCAGGCCCTGAGTTCAAGTCTCCTCCCCACCCCTCTCCCCACCCCCCAAAAAAACCAAAACAACAGTATAGTGTAGATAGACCTCAAAATATGCTGGTGAAGCTAAGGGATCGGAAACTCTAAAAAATGCTGGTGCAGCTTTGCAGAAAAGCAACTACTGCAGCCCAGAGAATAAAGGGCTTGATGTCAAGGGAGCAGGAAGCTCGCTTGTTCTAGTTTTAAGAAGTGCAGACTTAGGTGACATTCAGACAGCTGAGTGGCAGTTTTACTTCCCATGGCAGGACCAGGACGGTTCTAAGGAGCCCATTACTCTGGAAAGAACAAACTGAATGTTGAACAAATTCACATGCATTTTGGAAACAATTAGTGATCTGATTGCTCCATCCATAGCATTCATTTCTATGTGATTCCTGTTGTAACTCAGATTGGCTCAACACTTTAAGAAGCTGCTGCCAAGACTGTGTTCTCTTACTTGTGTTGTGTTTTGTTACTTTGTTTGGCTTTTCAAGGCCAAACAAGACTTGGATATGATTGGTATATTCTTGTCTCAGTGTCAGAGCAGCAGGAGAGAGCCTTCACACTGGGGCTCGCCGGACTCCTCGGCGAGGGAGTTTTTAACTTTGGAGAACTTGTAAGTTGACCTGTATAGATTCCTTGATGGAGCAGGGGAGAGGGAGGCTGCCTTCTGCCTGCTGATGTCCTCTCCACAGCTCATGCACCCTGTACTGGAGTCTCTGAGAAGCACTGACCGGCAGTGGCTGATTGATACCCTTTATGCCTTCAACAGCGGCGCTGTAGACAGATTCCAGACACTTAAGACTGCCTGGGGTCAGCAGGTAGGTCCCGTGTGCCACTGGCTACACGTGTCCACTCACCAAACAAGTACTCACCTGGCCTTTGCTCTACACGTGCCTAGCGCCCAGGAGGCCTTGGCACAGAGGGGGCAGTAGCACACCAGGCCTTATTCATAGAATAAGGCAGCAGATGGTCAGTGATGCTTAACCCTAAAGAAAGAGTAGAAGGTGTATAAAAGAGCAGTACGTACATACACCTTCATCTGTACGGAAGGTGCAGATAAAAAGGTGTCAACCTCCTGAGGGAAGAACTGGCCTGGGCGTTAGAAGAACAGAATCAGCACCTTCGTCAGAGCTGGATCAAAGGATGTTACCCACCCTCCGGGGAAACGTGAAATAGTAAGGGAAAAGCAAATGCTTAGTATGCTTGCTAAACTGAGTAAGCATGTGTGTGCAGCAACATAAGCAGGCAGTCACTTAGTGTGAGAAAGAGTGGGGAAAATGCAAGGAGAGGGAGTCATTCTCCAGGAATACAGGGTGGGGGGCACACAGGAGCATGGTGGTGGGAGGAGTTAAAAGAGGTGCTTAGTGATAAGTCAAGCCTTTTTTAGTGAAACTAGTAGCAAAATTGCTGGAATGTTAACTGTAGTAGGAATTGTGGTTGTGTTGATTATGTATTTTCCTGAAACTTCCACTTTCTTAAAGCTTAAACTTGCAAAGTTCATATATAATGGAGCAGGATGGGTATGAACGTAGGATCCCAGAGGAGGCAAGAAGTACTAGACTTAGTCGGCCTTAACTGAGTCTGTGTACTGGCATCTGTGCAGAAATGTGCGCTCAGAGAGTGGGCACAGTGACCCATACCTGTAGTCCCAGCTGCAGTCAGACAATCGCTTGAGCCTTGCACTTGGAAACTGGCTTGAGCAACATTAGAAGACCTTGTCAAAAAAAAAAAAAAAAAAAGCTGGGTACAGTAGCTCACACCTGTAATCCCAACTACTTGGGAAGTAAAGATAGTAAGATCAGGCCTTGAGGTTAGTCCAGGGAAAAAAGCTAGCAAGATTCCATCTTCATGAGCCAGCTTTCGTGTTACCTTCCTCCAGCTGTACAGAAAACACTGCTGTCTGGGTGAGTGGATGTGTCAATATGTCCATCCCTGATGTCCCCCTACCTGAAAAGTAAAGAAAGCAGAAGGCTAGGAGCATGATATAGGCGGTAGACAACCTGTCTACCAAACATAAGGCTAAATTCAAACCTCAGTAGCCACCCACCCCCCCAGAGAGGGGTGGGGGGGACCACACCAATTGGCTAGCCATAGCAGTTTATAAAGGGAGAATAAGATCAGAGGTTCGTTATACCAATGACTATGCTGGAAGCTCCTGCTGAGGAGAGTAAGGTTTCATTATCATTTCTTGTTTTTTATCTTGAGATGGAATCTCACTGTATTTCCCGGGCTGACTTGTGGGCCAGGAGATCCTCCCACCTCAGTCTCCCAAGTGCTAGGGTTGTAGGTGCAAACCACTCTGTGTGCTGCTGTGTGGTATCAGTGTTGCATTAAGTCATCAACTGCGATTAGTTTAATTCTGTGTTCACCAAATAACTTGCTGGTCTGTTAATATGCAGGCCTCACAAAAGAGTGCTAGTTCATATTAGAACATGATTTTCCATTATAAACCAGACACTTGTTACTTGATTCAGCACTTGTCACTTGATTCAGGACTCAGGGGCTCCTCAGAGGAGTTCTTCTGCACCATGCTGATGGATAGCAACGCCACTGGGAGCCTCCAGGAACACAGGACAAGTCCTTTCCTGGAGGTGCCTATGCCAAGAGAGGCTGGGGGTACCTGGCAGTGTTTGTGATACCATTACTAATCTTGTCTCACAGAGTCCTTGTTGGTAGAAACAGCTCATAAAAGTCTTTCATTTCCTGCATAAAAGGAAGTTAGTATATTATTTGTCAATGAACTTTATCAACCCACAGTATAATATTTTGGGTTTGCCCAGTTTCTTTTTGTTGAATGCACCATAATAAAGCCTAGGTTAAGCCCAACACTGATGGCTCGTGTCTGTAATCCTAGCTGCTCAGGAGTCTGAAATACAGGATGAGGACTGCAATTCAAAGCTAGCCAGGGCAGGAAAGTCTGTGAGACTCCTGTATCCATTAAACTATCCAAACAGCCAGAAGTGGAGCTGTGGCTCAAGTGGTAGAGTGCTATCCTTGAGCAAAGGAAACTCAGAGACAGCCCAGGCCCTGAGTTCAAGCCACAGGACCAGCACAAAACAAAAACAAAAAACACCTAGGTTAAGTAATTGATCAGCTGAAACATGAAAGACGTCTCTGTCTTTTTGCAGCCTGATTTAGCAGCCAATGAAGCCCAGCTTCTGAGGAAGATCCAGTTGCTGTGCCTGATGGAGGTAAGAAGCACCCGGAAGCAGTCTGTCCATGCATCGGGGCTGCCATCAGGCTGCTGGACCCTGAGGGCCCCTCCCACCTTTCCTGAGTTTCTTTATAGTGAAATACATGGCTGCAGTATGTGGGATACTAACAAGGGGGTTCTCCATTTTCAGAGTAGGCTTTGACCAAAAAATCCTGACCAATCAGTTCTCCGACCATTCTTATTTGGAAAAATTGTTTTAAATAACATTTTTTTCAGATGACTTTCACACGGCCTGCCAATCACCGACAGCTTACTTTTGAAGAAATTGCCAAAAGTGCTAAAATCACAGTGAATGAGGTACAGTTCTTGGCCTGGGGTACTGAAGAGCTCAGGCAGCTGAATGTGTGTCTTCCAGGCAGAGCACTGTGCCCCTGCCCGTTCCCCCACCCCACCCTGCCAGCAGAAGCAGTATTGTCTGCACCCAGAGTGTCTCACACAAGTCCTCCAACAGGTGGAGTTGCTGGTGATGAAGGCGCTCTCAGTGGGACTGGTGAGAGGCAGCATAGATGAGGTGGACAAGCGGGTGCACATGACCTGGGTGCAGCCCCGCGTGCTGGACCTGCAGCAGGTGAGGTGACTGAGGCTGCCCACCTTCCCAGAGCCAGGCCGCACCGGTGCGGTCACACGCCACTTCCTGTGGACACGTGACACCTGGCAGGGAGTCACTGCTCAACAGGAGGGTTAGAGATGGGATTACCGCGATAGGAAGTCAGCTTCACGTACCTAGGGTTTGAGCACTGCATTTAGAAGCTTAGAGTGACAACATGCTGGTTATAATCTCAAAATTGGTACTCAAATCAAATGTGTTCCTGGTTTTGTGATTTGAGCTCAAATCCTTCTTACTCGCATTGCTGGAATTTAATCCTGCAGATTTCCTCTATTCTCACCTGTTTTCTTTAATAATGTCCTTGTGATAAGAATTAACAGGGGTGATCATATCACACACACACCCCTACCCCCAGCTCTGATATTCTTACCACTGCCCCGGGAGTGATCTGGAGACAAAACATGGTCCTGTGTTGCCTGTGACTTACGCATGTCCTGACACACTGGTCCTGATTTGCCTTCAGATCACAGGAATGAAGGACCGACTGGAGCTGTGGTGCACTGATGTGAAGAGCATGGAGATGCTGGTAGAGCACCAGGCTCAGGACATCCTTACCTAGAGCCGCTGTGCTCCAGCCCAGCCTCACCCAAGGAGGCATTTCCTGGCCCAGGAAACTGGCAGCAGAGATGATTACCTGTGTTCAGTTGGGCTGGGGGTTGGGGTCCTGCTCGCCCTCTGGAAAAGCAGCCTGGGTGGTGAAAGGGTCCTTCAGGCCTCAGATGATGAGGAGGAGATTGAAAGTGGAATCCGTAGTTCCACCCATGTCCACCTGCTGGATCTTTACCTGTGCAGTTCAGAAATGTTCTGACAATAAACGCCTTTGCTTTGTCCTGTTTACGGTTCTTAGCTCTCAGGCTTCGCCTATACCTAAAGATAGCCTGCCCTAGAACTTGGGGGCCAGGGCCTTCGCTCTACCTCCTCACTTTCCACTGCACACAGGATTGGGGCAGAGGCTTGTGCTCAGTCACCTAAGGAGCAAGTCCTGTCCTTATTGTCAGATGCCATAGTGACCTTTCTCCTTCCGCCCCCTCTGCCTTCAGGGATCCATGCATTCACACCCGTGTCACCTTTGCCTCCTCTAAAGCAGGGCACCCCGACCTGAGCAAGGGTTGGGTGAGAGTCCGCGTGAAGGCGGGGAAGGGTTAATGTGACCTCGGGGCTGTGCACGGTATGGCTCCAGTGCCTTCATGCTGAGAGCTTTTCCTGCAGCTCTCCAAGTGAGGTAAGACCCACCTGCAGGGATCGGGAAGCTGACGAAGGTCACCATCCCAGCAGCCCGTTCCTGACAGAAAAGCACACGTGAGTCACAGGGCCATGGGAAGCTTCCAGCCTGACTACCAGAGGAAGTCTGACTGCCCCAGTCCACAGGGACCCGCAGTGTGGAGCTCAGTCTCAGGCAGAAGCAGCCTCCACAGCTAGGTGGCGCTGCCCCTGCCTCCTGGCAAGGGCCAGCCGTCATCTCCATCTGCCTTCCGCTTGTCAGCGGTGTTAGCAGGTTGGCAGCCTCTGTCCCTGCAGGAGGACTAGCCTTGGGCTCCTGCCAGCACACCGTGTGCATTCACTTCCCGGCTGTGGCTGTATGCTGGGGTGCAGTGCAGAATGGCTGAGCCACTGAGAGTTAACTGCGGCGGACAAGGCCCGACTCCCTGTGCTGCATGACTGAGTATGGTGTGCAGAGGTGACCCCACTCGGAGCTTGGTGTTCTTGGTTCTGAACTTGGGGGACCAGACTCAGAACCAGGCCAACATCCGCAGTTCCCGCCTGAAAAGGGCCAGCTAGAGATTAGCCCTTCCTGTTTAATCCCTAGAATTTGAGAACAAATTTGGCCTAGAACAGGAACCTTCGTCTGAATTCATGCTTAGCTATGTCATCATGAGCAAATGACCTGGATTTTGTTTTATTGGTAATTAAGCACACTCCTGAGCTCCACCAGCATAGTTACTATTTGCGTCTTCGCTCTGCACCTGCACCCTGATCCACCTGAGTATCTCGGCTGGTTGTGCCCAGATACCAGAGACCTGAGAAGGGAGAGTCCAGCTCTGCATTTTAGGACCCCTTGAGTTACCTGGTCTTCCGGCAATGGCATCTGGGCCCCTCCTGGCATTTCATGCACCGCCAGCCACAGCACTGACCTCTAACACCAAGGTCACCTCTCCTTTACCACCCAAGAAATGGGCCCAGTCCTCAAGATGGCCCACGGCTGCCTTGGGGGACACCATGGGATCGGGGGGGGTTCTGGCTCGTTTGGTGCAGACATGGACCTTGGAAACCACCTGGCCCCTGAGGGGTTTGGAGTCACTGCAGGGTAGGGAACAACCTTAGCAAGGTTCTGTAGGGTACCTCCCTGCGTTCCAGCCAGGTGGCCGGAAGCTACAGCCGTCCCTTCTGGTCACAGGACTTGGCAGAAAGGACACCTGCTGGGGAGAGCATGGCCTGGCATGTGGCCTTGCAATGACTGAGGGGCTTGAGGCAGCTCTGGAAAGGGTGTTCACTCCACAGTGAAGCGGACCGGAGGGAGGTGGGCTTGAACTGCAAGAGGAGAAAGGCGGCAAGATTGAAAATAAACCTTGAAGTGCCGGCCATACGACTGTACAACCAGAGCTGCTTCCTCTCCAGCTCGGGAGGGCTGGCCCAGCTGCAGCCTTCCCTTCTCAGATGACGCCCTCACCACCAGCTGTTCCAGAAGCCTGCTCAGAACACCGTACGGTCCTCCCAGCGACACCCTCCTTCCCCAGTGGGCTTCCAGTCGCGCTGCAGAACTCAGCAGATACTTCCTGAGGCCCAAATTCCAGGCACCTCATGTTAGCTCTGGGAAATCAACACAAGATTCATTACATTGTAGCCATTGGAAAACACTTCAGACATCTTCAGAGGTACACCTCATTGCCCAGGTTCAAACAGAAGAGGAGACAGTGTGAAGTATGAAATCGCTACAGCAGTCTCAATGGCTGGGAAGGTGGCTCAGTGGTAGAGCGCTCGCCTTGCACACACGAGGCCCCAGGTTTGATTCCTCAGCACCACATACACAGAAAAAACCACAGTGGCGCTGTGGCTCAAGTGATAGAGCACTAGTCTTGAGCTGAAGAGCTGAGGAACAGTGCCTGGGCCCAGAGTTCAGGCCCCATGACTGAAAAAAAACCAGTCTCAAGTCACAGGTACAGCGCAGTTGACCATTAGTGCTCAAGTCTTTGTCTCTGGGGAGCTGGAAGATGGTCTGTAGACTTTGCTGGTTTTCTTCATGATAAGGCGTTGCCAGTTGGGGAGCAGTTTTTCTCTTGCCACAAGGTGGTTATAGTGAATTTTGTTCTTCATGGAGCCCAAGGTAATTACAAAGTAACTTCAGAAGTAAGGTTCAGAGTAAAGAGCACAGATGCAAAGTGGGACAGCCAAGTGAATTTTAGTTAATTCACAGGCCGAGCAAAAGCATCGCTTCCACTGTCTACAAACTAGGCCCTGGACCGTGGTGGCACTGTCCAGCTCGCTCTGGTACTGGCTGGGCTCTGGCATTCCCTGGACTCTAACTTTTCTGCTCTCTGGGGACTGTCTCACCCTTCTCTCCATGTAAGCCCCCAGCCCTCCTTTGGGCCTGTCTGTGCTACCTCCATTACCACCACTCCACCTCCTCCTCCTCCCCCCCGCCCCCCAACCAAGCACCATCGCCAGCCTTCATCTCCTCCACTTCATCTATCCTCTGCCTGACATCTGATGGCCCCAGGTCCCCTGCAACCTCTCCACCCACCTTCTCCCCTACCTTGTTAGGCCCTGGACCCTCCCAGCTGTCCCTTATCAGTCCTGACCTTTAGTCAGTCCTGACCTCCAGCCCCACCACATGGCAGTCTTCCCATGCCCCTTCCTTTTCCAGGCCCCAAATGTCTGGGCAGCAGCTTCCATTCTCACATTGGTCTCACCAACAGCACTATGTCAGCGCTCCTCATCCAATCCCAGATCCAATCCTTGTGGACAATCAGGTCTGATCATCAATGGATGCCTCTGCTCCATGTCCTGCAACAGGCTTCACAAACCTCCGTCCCAGAGCCCCAAGCCCAAGAGACCTGGTCTCCAGAGCCCCAAGCCCAAGAGACCTGGTCACCAGAGCCCAAGAGACCTAGTCACCAGAGCCCAAGAGACCTGGTCACCAGAGCCCCAAGAGACCTGGTCTCCAGAGCCCAAGAGACCTGGTCTCCAGAGCCCCAAGAGACCTGGTCACCAGAGCCCCAAGCCCAAGAGACCTGGTCTCCAGAGCCCCAAGCCCAAGAGACCTGGTCTCCAGAGCCCCAAGCCCAAGAGACCTGGTCTCCAGA